CCTACAAAGGGAATTACTTGGTTTAATTTAGACTGAAGTGTGGGACTGTATTAACACACAGGCAGTAACAACATCTGGGGAGCTAAATCTCTGGCGTCAGAGAGAGTGAACAACTTAATCATTACAGAAGTACAGATAAGCCTTCACATCTGTACACAACCGTTACAGAAAATACACTTTCTCCATGACTGCTAAGTGTATTAGGACAAGTTTCATCTTCATTACTTACAAACATATATTTATATTTTTCAGAGATTTAGGACAAAATTCCAGCTGAAAGAACAGCTATCTTTATCCACTGTCTTTCCAGAAAGGCTGTGAATTACTCTTCACTGATAGTGCTTTGAAGCTGATTATATACCATATACAAGGGTATACAATAGATCCACTGAAAAAGGAGCTAATTATACTTGTTTTTATCTCAGAGCAAGGGACAGAGGAGGGTACAGTTCATGGAAAGGCACACATTTCCCAGATACACTGCTTATCAAGCCAACTGTAGCACAAAATTACAAATTCCGTAAATTCCTGCCTGACACAAACTCAACCAATGCCACCAGCAAAACACTGCATGATATAGTTGTGAAATGGCGGGATCCGTCAGAATATTTTGTTGGAAAAGTTTTTTAGATGGCTTAAAGTCACTCTAATGCTCTGAAGTCACTTAGAAGCTTCCGATTAACTCTAATAGGAAAGCAAGGACATAAGGAACAACCAGGTTGTTCTTGCTAGCACCAAAAACTTGGTAGTTGATAAAAGTCTTGCAAGAGTTAAGACAACTAAACTCCTCTTCTGAATTTAACTTTTTTTTTTTGAAGACAATTCCCCTTTCTAATTAGAAAACACCCTAGTTCTTCATTTAAGGTTTTCTCTATACAACATCAGTGTTCAAGCTATTCTTGCTAGGTTCCTGCTGTCACCTCTTAGAAGACTCGGTATCCATTCAGTTCTACCAATACCCTCTGGCATAAAAGCTGGTAGCTCATACATGCTGGTGTAATAATAAGGCACAAGAAATGGTTGAAACCATCTGGGAAACCAAGAGCTACTAACCATCTTCAGAACATAACTCAAGAAAGATAGAAATATGCTGAAACGAAGTGCTCTGTTATTTAGATGATATGTGTGTTCATAGTAAGAGGCAGTCCCTATACTATCAACTTAAACAAAGACAGATTTTATTGCTCAAAAGAAAGTTTACTATCCAAGAATGATTACATAGAGGCAGAAAATAAGTTGGCCAAGGTCATAAAAATCTCTGTTGTTCCATCCAGTCCATATCTAAAGGTTTCCAGTGAGAAGATGCCTGGCTTAGTCTGCTGCCATGTGCACCACCTGCACGTGTGTCTTTCAAATTACTTCTGATTTTTTTTTTTTCATTTTTTTAAAAATAAAAGTGAACAGATGAGATAAGCATCAACTAATAACACAGGATCAAGAGCTGTTTATGATCACTTGTACTATCTTTGCATTATCAGGGACAGAATAAACCTAAAGAATCTGTCTGAAGAGAGAAAAGGGTGTTTGCTCAAAGAAAGTACTTCAAATTACCACAGCACAGAGGAATGTACAGAGGGGTTAGAGGGAAAGCAGTTCTGTAGGAACTGAGGAAAGACATCGAATTGATGAAGGGAAATGAGATAGCAGGAGATTTTATTTCGTGATCCTTCTCTTGCAGTCCTACATCCTTCCCTAAGATGAAAGAGCACCTCCTTAAGAACTTTGAAAGAGAAAGTGTTGTCTAGTGCAAGGCTAGTGAAATGGCCACCTGCCCTGAATCACAAGTACAGTTTGCCTGGACCTGATGAATCCCATATGATTACCCACTCTCTGTTTTCTGGGAGAAAAGCATAGTGCAACCTTCAACTGGAATAGACTTGTTATGTTCCTTTGCTGAATGGTGGTGGCTATGTCCAGCTCCTATTAAGCAGCCGATGGTAAAAACATGGACTAATATACACATAAACTAATTGAGCATCCCTCGTCAAGCAGAGTGGGTAGCAGACTCCCAGCTCTAGAAATCCATACTCCCACCTGGCCCTGCTAGTTTCCCTCCATATGATCTTCAGAAATCTCCTCAGTTATCATGCCTATCTTGTCTAGCTGGCCTGTTATCAACATGGGACAGGTTGTAGCCCATGTTCACCCTACAGACACCAAATACCACTGTCTCTGCATGCTAAGGGTGGCATGGGGGGCTTTGCTGCCTCTCAGGCTGAACATGCTCTTATGACCACTGGGATGGACCGACTCATTTGAGACCCTAAAGAAAAACCAATGAGACAGCCACCTTATCTCTCAAAGGGCTGTATGGCCACGTCCTAAATACCTTCATCATGCAGACACTCCAGCTCCTTTCCCTCTGCCCACAGCTAAGCAGGATAATAACTTTCCCCTCATAGTTTTTCCATAGAACCAAAACTCTCCTTTTCCATTTTTATCCCTGCTTGGCACCCAGCATTTGACCTATGGTGTTTAATTTAAACACTTCTCAGTGAAACTGAGGAGCAGCAGCAGCTGCAAACACCAGGGTCATGGCTGAGTGCCCATCCCATGCGTGCTTGTTGAATGAACCAGGAGGAACCCGCAGAGCCAAGGAAATCTACGCATCAGTGGCTGGCATTGTCCTCCTATGTTTTTTCCAGCTTCAACATAGGGCATGACAAACGGCCGGGAGCTTGAAAGTCAGGATGGGGGAAAGAAGATTTGGCATAAAACAAGCCTTGAATGGTGAAACTGGAGCTGGCTGGCTGCAGCTGCTGTGGTGAGGTGGTAGCTTCACACTCTGGCTTCAGTGTAGACTGGATAGTTGGAAAGATGATTTGGAGGAAATGGGGCTTATGAGACCATAACATCTCTGCACCCATCTGTGTCACTGTCAGTGCTCACACTTGAACGTGGCCAACTTCAACTAGGTTTAAGAGGAGCACAGAGAGCACAGAGATGCTGTATTCCTGCAAGGTTCATGAAAATCAGTAGTTGGATTGAGGCAAGAGACTTTTCTGGTGTTTTCCCCAAGCACACAAGTATAGCATGAACTGAACACTTAAAACGGTCACTTAAACTTTTGCAGGATGTGCCTTCCCATCAGACATCCATAGGAAATCCACCCTGGCAATATTTCGCATTTCGAATCCAGTGCAGCAGATGACACTAACTCAGTAGGGAACCAGACCTGCAAAACATGGGCAGAAACCCCAAATGGGTGGGAAATGACAAGCAGTGGGAATTGCTAAGAAGCCAGTTGTTCTTCCCGGGGTATCAAAGAGCACGAGGACCAGAGGGGGATCTACACATGAAAATTCAACAAGCAAAGCCCTGCAATATCTTCCCACCTCTGACACCCACTTGGTGCCTGTCATGCGCAACTCATTTCATGCCCACACCTTACACACCAAGCCCATAGCTTGTGTGTAATGCAGGTTAATTTGGGGGGAGGTATCAACTCCCTCCCTGTTAGACGTCCAAAACAACGAATGAATTATGTAAAGGTAAAACAATGTTTTAATAACATACAATAAAAGATTCACAAGCTCACTAAAATTCAGTACGTTATCCCCTTCCTCCCTGCTTCACCTTTTTCCATTTTCAGGCAGATTTCTTTCCGTTTTCTGGTTTTAGCTGCTGCTGTTGTCAGCCAGCCTGGAGTTGCCTTTACATCAGCCTTTAGGGACACAATCTCTCAGCACCAGTTTCTCAGCTTGTGTCTGTGACTGCCAGGGCTCAGAAACAGCGGCAGCAACTGCTACAAATGAATAAATAACAGTGATAT